CAGGAGTTCTAGATAAGGGACGTGGCTGTGCGTGTGGCCCAAGAGGCCCTGGGTTCAGGGTAGAGCGTCCTGGGCTGGGGCTGCGTTTGCAGATCACTGGAGCAGGTCCAGGGAAGAGCTGCTACGGGCCACGGACGGTGAACTCAGCCTGGACCCGCAGGGGCCCACGGGAGCTGGACGGTAATAGCCCCAGAGGGCGCGTTCCTCTCTCCCTGGTGGTAAATCCAGAGGGGTTCATGTGGCTGACTTAGGGTTACCAGGACCCAGCCCTCCTCCCCACAGGTGGCGGTGGTGATGCATCCTACACAGGCTTTAGGTGGTGTCCACGGCCTTCCTGAAGATGTCCTCTTTAGTTCCTGAACCAGCCACAGGGGAGGGACGTTGGCAGTGCCGACCTACAGCCAGGAGTCCAAGCTTGGAGAAGGGAGGCGACCCGTCCACAGTCTCTTAGGTGACACTGAGACACAGGGCCCCGGGCCAGATCTGGTTTTCAATGACCTTCTTCGTAAAAGGCTGATAAACTTTAAAAGGATCTGTAGCAAAGAGCCAGCAGAATAAATAGGACCCCAACCCATTCCAACTCCCGGGCTACGGCCGAGGGGCAAGCTCAGGTGGGATTCTGAGGCTGTCTACCTGGGCTGGGGAATCCATCCACCACGACTACCAAGGTGTAAGGCCGTGGCATGGTAGCTACGTGGATCACCGTCCATTCACAAGGGTTGACTTTTTTCCCTTCATTTATCGGAGAACCTACTCAGGCCAGACAGAGTGGTGCACACCTGTCATCCCAGTCATTTGGGAGGCTGAGGCAGGAGGATCACAAGTTCAAGGCCAGCCTGGGCAACGTAGCAAGATCCCACATTCAAATAAAATAAAAAGATCTGGGCACGTAGCTCATCGGTGAAGTGCCTCAGGCTCAACCCTCAGTACCCCCCGAAATTACTAGATGCACACGGGGTGCCAGCAATGCTGTGGCTAGCTCCAGGAAGCCTCAATCCCTGTCCTTGGGGCACTCAGCAGGCCCCAGGGCTGCCCCAACTGTATACAGAAAGGGCTGTGGGATCTGGCACGCTGCGGAACCACAGCCCAGAGAGGCGAACTGGTCGCCATGCCCCCCCACACAGCCCGGGCCGTGGAGGAGACTCGTCCCAATCCCACTTTGCTGACAAGAGCCAATGGGGAAGGGCGTGCCCCAGAATCACGCAGGCCTGTGTCCACGGCTGATGAATTGGGGGACACTGGGGACGGGGCTTAGCTTATCTAAGCTCCAGGTTCTCCGTCAGCTAAAGAAAGATAAATGAAAGGAAATAGTAGTGATTGGCTCAGAAGATAGTCGTGAGAGCTACAGGTGCCGACGGGGTGACGGCCACTACGGGCTGAGGGTTTTGCATGCCCTGCCTTAGACCTTCATGGGTGGGACCCACTGAGGCAGCGCTGGTGAAGACGCACACCTGGGGTGCCAGGCCCGGCTGGCTCGTGGCTCAGATGGCTGAGGTCCTGCCGCTGCTGCCAGGGCTGCTCACACTGTCCTGAGGAGCTGCCCTGGGGCTGGAGTCTGACCCACAGCTCCAATCTCCGCCACCGGCACTCTGGGATTGGGGACAAGTCACTTGACTTCCCCAGGGACTCAATTTCCTCTGTATAAAGAAAAGTTTTGATTCGGGAATGGTGGCGTACACCTGTCATCCCAGCGGCTCGGGAGGCTGAGGCAGGAGGATCGCGAGTTCAAAGCCAGCCTCAGCAAAAGCGAGGTCCCAAGCAACTCAGGAAGACCCTGTCTCTAAATAAAATACAACATAGGGCTGGGGATGAGGCTCAGTGGTGGAGAGCCCCTGAATTTAATCCGTGGTACCAAAAAGAAAAGAAAAGAAAAGAAAAGAAAAGTTTTGATTAGATGAAAATTAAAATGGTGGAGTCTTTTTGAAAAACACCACGCCTGGGTTCCTTTCCCTACGGGCTGGAGCTCGGCTGGGAACCTGTCCCACCCCTTACGGCCTCCCCTGACCCTTGCCCACACCCTCCCCAACAGCAACGCCCTAACTGCCTTTTCTGCAGGTGCCCCTCCTTCCTGTGAGACCCCGTCCCTCTATTAATTCTACCCTGAGGCACCAGTGCAGCGTCATCTGCAGCAGGAAGGAATCATAATTCCTCCGTGTCACACACAAGCAGGTTCTGTGCAGGTGCAGTGCCCCGTGGGGTCTCTGATCTGTCAGGTTTCAGCCTCCTGGGGACGAGCCACCTTGGAAGGTGTTTTCAGACCCCATCGGCTGCCTCTTCCACGTGCGGAGCGTCCCAGCCCACAGGTTTGAGTCAGCTTCCACCTGGTGGCAGGGATGCTCACCTGGACCTCAGCCTGGCGAATTGAAGCCGGGTCTTAGCATTGAGGTGGCGTTGCCACGGAAACCGCCGGGCACATTCAGGAAGTGATTCGGACCCCGAGATCTGCCTCTGGCAACAGTCCGAGCCATCGAGTGGACGCCCAGCCAAGAGTTCCACCGGGGCATCCTCTGTCCTCAAGGATGGATATGGCCACCCCAGGATTGAAAAGATGATCACAGCTCCAACCCAGAGGAGCCTCCCCTCCCCTGATTCCCTCCAAGGAAACCTCTCCCCATATTGACCCCACGGAGTCAACGCCTTTATTGGAGCCTTACCCTAACTCAAACTTCTAATTACAGAAGCTTCTTGCTCTTTGAAGGTTGGGTTCACTTTCGGGAGTTTAAGATCAAAAGCATCTATTAACCACTCCTTGGGCATCTTTCCGAAGGAGACACGTTGTGGAGACTGGCCAATTGGAGGAGCCACGGGTTGGCCCAGGGTGTGCCCAGGGCCAGATCCGCTCCCAAAGGCCTGGGACCATGTGCAGGTCAGTGCCTGTCTCAGGGGGTAAAGGCTGTGCCCCACCCTGACGCGGGGGTCTGCAGCGTTTCTCCATGAATTCTGAGAAGCGATTTCATCCTCCGGATGCTAAATCACAGCCCTGAGTGGAGAACTTGGCTGGGGAAATGCCGTTCAAGTTTGGAGTAGCAGAAATTGGCCGGGGATCACAGCGTTTGCTGCTTAAAGATGCGTCACCAGGGGCACACGGCCGGGTACTTGGAGAGTCGGTGCCAGGCAATGTTTTCCTCGTTTGCTTCTACACGAAAGCGTTTTCTGCCGAGGCAGGCGATTTACATTATTCTAGTTTTCAAAGCAATCCCTTCAGAGACCCGGCTGCTAGCACCTAACCATCTGCAGAGACCAGGCTGGTCCCCAGCCATCCCCCTGTGCAGTGACCGCCAGAGAAAGAGGTCACAGATACAGATGCCTGCACATCCACACTTGGGTAGGGAACTGAGCTGGACTCCAGCTGCAGAGTCATCTAGGTGGCAGGAGAAAGGCGCACCTATCAGCCACCAGCTCCCTCCCACCCTCTTCCTCTGGGTCTGCTATTCAGCAATACCCTGTGGTCACCACTGGTCACTTGGTACGCTGAACTACAGACCCCAGAGACAGCAAGCCCGGGTGCCCAGCCCTGCAGCCCTGCAGCCCAGGAGGCAGTTAGAGACTCATACTGTGAAGCTTGGGCACAGAATTCTTCATGGCTGAGATGACCTGAGAAGGACTGGGAGGCAGGGATGCAGGAGACAGGCCCAGGAGGAGGTGGACCTGCAGGCCGCTGCCTGCTCAAGGCAGATGGATCGTAGCAGCAGGGCACCCAGTCCCGCTTCCCAGGGCCACCACACCCAGGTCCTGATGCAGTAGCCCAGAGAGGTCTGGAAACACTGACCCCCTAATGGACCTTCTTTCCCTGTGATTTGGGCCATGAGTGACAGAAAACTGGCTCTAGACCTTCCACCTTGTCCCCTGGCTCTGTGCTGAATTTAGAAGTGACGAGTGTATGTGTGTGACCTGAAGCTTTTGATGTCTGCCTTTCAGGCCAGCCTGGTGACGGAACTGGTTCCAGACCCACGTCGCCTGGCGTTTCCGCCACACCTCGTCCTGCTCCCACAGATGCGGTCCTCTGGCTCATCACGAGGGTCAGTAACTGTGATGCATCTGAAGGGACCAGGGAGGTGCATGTAGGTCTCAGGTGTGGAGAATAATAGGACAAGAATGTGACTCAGAGAGCAGCAAGGATCGTGGACACGGAGACTTCCTGGGAAAATGTGTCAATCCCTGAGCTCAGGCTTCAAGGAATCCATCAACAGCCCTTGAAAAACTGTACCCCCTGTAAAAGTGTCACAGTGTCACAATGAAGGTGCTGCTGGCTGGGGGTGGAATAGACGGCCCATTAATACTCATTGAAGGGCTTATTGATTGGAGTGTCAGGGTAATTAGCCCCAGTGATCTCGGATCAATGCAGCACAGGAAAGGGCAGGAGCCAGTGTCTCCAGAGCAGGGGTGAGGAGCTGTCCCCAGGACCCCTGCCTCACCCTGTAGCCCCAAAGCACCCTGCGTTCCTTGGGGGCTCGGTTTCCTCACCTGTAAAATGAGACGAGAGCAGGTCAGTGCTTCTCTCAGGGGTTTCCAACAGACCTTGGCTCTTTCAGTGAGTATCTATTTTTCTAGCAAAAGTGTCAAATGATCAGACTTGGGTCACAGTGATTTTAAGCAAATTATGTAGGGCTTCTAAGAGCTTTGGGTGTGCTAGATATTAGGAGTTTTTAAGAAGAAGGTCATCCAGCAGCTCAGGAGGCTGAGGCAGGAGGATGGCAAGTTCAAAGCCAGCCTCAGCAAAAGCGAGGTGCTAAGCAACTCAGTGAGACCCTGTCTCTAAATAAAATATATAAAAAGGCTGGGGATGGGGCTCAATGGCTGAGTGCCCCTGAGTTCAATCCCCTGTAAAAAAAAAAAAAAAAAAAAAAAAAGATATAAACACTTGGAACACATAAAAACACACATTTTTTTTTTTTAAAAAAAAAAAAGGACATAAGACACACTTGTCCTCCTGGTCCACATTAGTGAGCACCAAATATATGACAGGCTCTATACTAGTTTCTGAGGACGTGGCAGTAAAAAGGCCCAAGTCCCTTTGTCAAAATATTTGCACTCTAGTGAGGGAATACGAATAGAGAGGCTGTCCATCAAGATAATGTGGCAATAGGCTAAATCCTGGGCACGGAAACAGAAAGCCACCCGTGCAGCAGGACGGGGTTCTGTTTCACACGAAGACGGCAATTTCCTCTCTGCTAAGGGGACGTTGGAACAGAGACCTCAAGGAAGCCACCGAGCAGGTGATCTGGAGGGAGGCTGAGGTGGTGCATGGGCCCTGAGCTAGCAGCTGGTTTGTTCTGGTCCTGAAACACCAAGGAGGCCGATACAGGGGGTGCAGGTGCAGCCGTCAGATGACTGAGAACCCAGAGGGCAGGGTCGTGTCCCGGCTGGGCGGGGAGGCCTGCTCTTCCTGACCGCTGAGCTCCAGAGTTTGCACAGTGAGCTGAACAGCAGGCCTGACGGACAGACGGGCGGCGCGGGGAGCTGGGTTTTCAAACCGCTTTCCCTGGGATGAGGCAATTCCTGGGACCCGTGCCCACTGGGGCAGAAGGTTCCTAAGAGCCGTGCTAACGAAACGACAGGGTGACCGGGTGGAATGCTCTCAACTCCGCAGTGCAGAAAGCGAAACCTGGGAATCACACAGTTGTGTCATTCTTCTCCTTTTTTTTTTTTTAAATTCATACCAGATTTTCATTTGTTATTGAGTTCTCCAAATCCAAAGGAATACTGGGCTGTGTCCACCACCCCTCCGTTCGCCGGCTGCATGTATCAGGCAATTATCTATTTGACCTTTCCAGATGTTGGCGTGCTCACCTGTAAGATGGTAATACCCGCTGTTCTGCCATGGTGGCCAGCGTGAGGGTCACCTCTGAGGGGGTGACTCGAGGGCTTAGCACAGTGCCAGATGGAGGAGGTGCTCTGGAAATGTCCCTGCTGTGACTAGGAAGGTTTAAAAGCTGGGAGGAGGATCCTGAGTGGCCAAAGAAGCCCAGTTACACACAGAGAAGGACGACACGGACCCAGCACCCGCTGTCCCCAAGGCGTGGTGGCTGATCCTCGGCTGCTCTGCATGTTCTGCATCCCCAGCTGCCGTCCTCCACAGCGTCTGTCCGTGCTCTCACACAGGGAGAGCCGTGTCCCTTGTCAAGTTCCACGTCACCTAACTTATGCGGCTGCTTCCCCAGGAGAGCGAGCTCAGGACTCAGCCCGTCTTCCCACAGCACTGTGGAGGGGAAACTGTGCTACAGGGAACGGCACTGAGTCACCTCTCTGCCCTGAAGACGGCCAGCCGGGGCACGGGGCTAGGGGAAGGCAGCAGCAAGCCAGTCCTGGGAAGTGAGGCTCTGCTTGACCACTCCCCTCTAGAGCAACCCTGTCCTGAAACCCACCCCTCCCTGTGGATGTCTCAGGTTCCAGAACCAACAAACGGCTCGATGTTCTAGCAATTCTCGTTACCATCTAGGAGAGGTCCACTCAGCCAATCGAAGAACAGGACACAGAGACAGCAAGCAAGCAGCAGACTTACTGCAGATGAAACAGAGACAGACTTCGCCAAAGAGAAGAGCCCAGAGCTAGGAATCCAGTGGGATTCTGTGTTGGAATTTTCTTCTTTCCTACCTCCTCCCTGTCCATGGTCTTCTCACTATGACTGATCGGTGGCCCCTCTGTCCACACAGCTGTCCTGGTTTTTCTATTGGACCCCCGGCTTAGGAGCACAAGCATGGGAGTGTCTGTCTGACTGGGTCCCCACCTGTGTCAACGGGCACTTTCGTCAAGCAGGAAGTTGACCTCACTGGAAGACCCTCTCACGCCCCTTGTGCTGACCCTGTCCTGTCCTCCTCACTCGCCATCTTGCCCTGGCCACCCAAGCCCTCCTGCATCTCCCCCATGCTGAGTTGGATTTTCCCTTTATATTACAGCCTGAAGCATCCAGATACCAATCAGATAACTTACCCCATCAGATCGCCATGACAACCCTGCTTTAAGACGCGTCTTCAGTGCACTTCGCCTGTGGAGGAACATGCGGAGACCATGGCTGGCCCACTTTGGGGCTATTTAGGGACCCATTTTTTTAGTAGAGTGGATTGGGGGGGCGGGTCACAGGTCTGTGTTCCTGCCTTGATCTAGGGCCTCTGTTTCCTCCTCTATAAAATGGATATAGTTGTTTAAAAAGAACTGAAGGGCAGGACACAGAGTCAGCAAGCAAGCGGCAGATTTACTGCAGAAGCAATAGAGGCAGACTTCTGTTCTCTGGAGCTCAGCACCGGAGCTCAATCAACTTCTTGGCAGGAAGCTCTTTGCATCTGTAAAGGGCCGTGCAGCATTTACTGTTCCTATACCAGGGTTAGTCCTCGTGACAGTTGTAGGTTGCTGGCCCTATCAGCCCAGCTCAGCTTACTCTTTGATGCAGGCGAACGCCCTGGTTTCTGGCTTATACTGATATTTTGCTGAGCAAACCCATCTTTTATGGCCAGTAAAGATCTGGTGTGGTTTGGACGTGAGGGGTCCCCAACAGCTCCTGTGTTCATGCAGGAATGTTCAGACGAGCGATGAATGCACTGGGAGAGCTGGAACCTGCTAAGTCCATCCTCGTTGGAATGGTCCGACGGGGTGGTAACTTTAGAAAGGTGGGGTGAGGGTGGCTGGAGGCAGGGGGTCACTGGGGGCTGCCCAGAAGGGGTCATCTTCCCCTCTGGCTTCCCGGCTGCACCCGGGTGAGCAGTGCCCCCCCACACACACACCAACCATATCCTTTTGCCATGATGCTGCTTCCCCTGGGGCCCAGAGCCATGGACTCAGCCAACCGTGGACTAACCCAGGATGTAGGCAACCGTGGACTAACCCTCTAAATTCATAAGCCAGAATAAGATTTCTCTACGTTGTTCTTGTCGGGCATTTTGGTCACAATGGTGCAAAACGGACGAACACAGAAATTGGTACTAAGAAGTGGAGTCCCTACTGTGACTAACCTGCCCATGTGGTTCAGAAGCCTTTGGAGCTGATTTGTGAAAGGGATTTGAAAAAAAAAAAATCGTGGATACAGGCTGGTGAAGTCTGAGAACATTGTAAGTAGAGTCTAATGGGTAATTCTGGGGGGAGCTCAGAAGACCAGAAGGCGGACAGTAAAGACTGTGCTCCTGCAGTTTCAGCGGGAAGGAGGCCTCTGTTGGGAACTGGACTAGAGGCCCTTCATGTTCTATTCTAGCAAAGAGCTTGTCTAAAATTTTGTCAGCGTCCTGAGATGTTATGTGAGGCTGAATTTAAAGGTGACGCAGTAGTTCATCCGGGGGAAGAAATTCCAAGGCAGCCCAGCATTAAGTCACGGGGTGTGGATTTTGTGGACACCTTTTAGCCAGGTTCACCGTGAGGATCAGGAACAGAGTGATGAGCTGACAGATTTTAAAAATGTGGCGGTTTGGCCAGTCAAAGTCTCTATACAATTAGGGCCAAGGAAGCTGTGGTAGTGAAAGAGCTTGTAGCCACTAAAGAGATACTAAGTACTTTGCACAGAGACAATTAAAAAACAAAAGGACTAGAGGGCATCTCCGGAGTTTGTGTGATCACACCCACTTCAGACTCAAGGACGCATTTTGCATTGTGAGATGGACAGGGGTTTGCGGGGGACCAGGGTTGAATTGTTCTGATTTGGGTATGAGGAGTCCCTCAAAGCTCCTGAGTTAACGTTGGCATGTTCAGAGGTGAAGTAGTTGGACTGCGAGAGCGTAACCCACTCAGTCCATTCCAGCTTGAATGGACTGACGGGGAGTAACTGTAGGCAGGTGGGGGGTGATCGGAGGGTGGGTCACTGGAGGCTGCCCGAAGGGGTTCATCTTCCCTCTGGCCACTTCTTCCTCTCTCGGTTTCCTGTCCACTACGGGGTGGGCTGGGCTCCTCCTCCATGTCCTTCCGCCATATTGTTTCTGCCTCACGTTGGGTCCAGAGCAAGGGACTTTGCCGACCATTGACTAAACCTCTACCTCCATAAATGCATGAGCCAAAATAAACTTTCCCTCCTCTAAGTTGTTCTCATCAAGGATTTTGGTCGCAGTGATGCAAACCTGAACGCAAGATCCAAAGTCAAACGTGGCCCCTGACTCCACGGGTCATAAATGGGGACTGAGCCCGCTCTCAAGCAGCTGACCCGCTTCTCGCACCCACCCTCGAATGCCCACCCCAGGGCCCCCATCTTCTTGGGTCCCCTTGCCCCGCGCCTTTTCCATGGTGGATTGGTAGATTTCCCTATGTCGTCTTCGCCTCCCAAATGTATATTTTGTACTTCCTGCCTTGGGGGATTAGAAAGATAAACATGTGTCACGATGCAATTTTCTCTTGTTGGGCATCACTTGGAGGTAAAAGTCCCTGTGGTTATCGAGGGTAATGGAAGTGAAAGGCGGTGTATAATTCAGACAAGAGGCTGAGAATTTGTCCTCACCACGGATATACCGGGATGATTTGCCTAAATGATCTAGAGTTGACTTCCTCAAATAGATTAATCTCGACCACGGCGTGTGCTCCTCTTTGTGCTGTTTATATTAGGATGGAGTGCTTGTTTGACAGGGCCCTGGCTTAACAGGCACCGTAGAAAGGAAACCCGTGAAATAGATTTATCCCTGTTGTTGGAGGAATGTGGGCTCTATTGTGCGCACTTTGCCTCTGGCTATAGAGAAAACCATTTATCCTCAAGTCTTCTCCTTGCCTTTCCTGTGCCTCGAGGACCAAGATTAACGGATGCTTTAACAGCCTCGTTCTGGGCGGTATTTATGAAGAGCAGCTCTTCTCACGCAAATAACTTCTAATATTTTTTTTAAGTCGAAGCATCTTTCATAAAGATGGGATGGTAAGACCTTCAGTCATAAAAGCTGAGATATTATCTCACATTAACCACTTGAAAGGCATTTGAGGGTATTTATTTTTCAGGAAAGGAAACACCAGTTGAGGATCGGAAAAAAGGGGGATTTTTGCCGTCACCATGACTTGACTTGAACTGGTCGGGTGTCAAGGGAGGTAGGTGACGGGGCAGGTCAGACTAGGTCAGACTCTGGGTGACTCTCCAAGCAGTGGGGTGACAGGGCATGTGGCTTGTTTTCTTTCCCGCTGATCAAAGGCCTTTAAAATACACTCAAGGCCGTTGGTGCTGTCTGTCCATCCCGCAGACTACGTATGTACAACCTGTTTACATGGCCTTGCTCAACGTCAACCGTCAGGTTCCAAGGAAGGAGGGTAATTCAGGTTCAAGGACAGCGCTTTAGAAATGCTTTCCTTTCTGAAAGAAAACCCAAGCGTCTCTCTGTTTACGAAATGCTTGCATTTCAAAAGTAATTTTTCTCTGCTGCTGGATTTAAAAAAAAAAAAAAACATACTCCACATCTGGTACTACTTACAGAATAGGTCTGATTGTTTTTTTGCAAATTGAACAATTAATTCAGGCAAACAACCCAAGATTTAATTCAATTTAAAATTGAAAAGGGTGGACGGCCACACTGGCTGCAATCCTAGGCTGGTGGACTTTGAGGCTGCGGTAATTAGTTTTAGACAATATTGTGACCCAAGCAAGTCCACGCTGGGAAGAAGCCCAAGTGTGTTTGGTACCAGTGCCCGGCCTGCTTTTATAAAGCGCTTCCCCAGAGTGCCAGTGAGGTGACAGAAAATGACCAGAAACCACGGGCAGGGATTCGGAGGACCCCGTGGGGCCTTCCGCATGGGGATCCAGCACACGGCCCAAGGGAGTTTGACCAACGCTTTGCATCCGGCTCTTGAGAAGCAACGCTGGACATTTCGCCAGCTGCCCAAGGCCAGAGAGAGCTGGCAACGTGACCTGAGACTGCGAGGGGCGTGGGGGAGGCAGGAGCACCCACCTGTACTGGGGGGGGGCAAGAAGAGGCACGGGAGAAAGCCCCAGTCCAACTGCAGATGGCCTCAAAGACACGGTCACGCGTCATGAAGCCTGACACAGGGAACAGAATTAGAAAAGGCGGTGAGGTCATTGCTTTTCCGAAAGATTCCGTCACTTGGGGAAAGAACTGCGGAGTGTGGAACCCAAGGGGTTCTAGAACCCTCTCTCCTTCCTCTATGGCTTAACAGGTCGGCTCGTTTCAGGCAACCCCAGGTTTCCTCCTTTGGGCATTGGGTCTCCCTCCCCCTCTTTATCCCTCCTCCCTCCCTCCCTCCCACCCTCTCTTCCTTCCTCCTTGCCTTCCCTCCTCCCTTTCATTTTCCCTTTTATAAAATAAGTTGTGCATGCCTCTCTGCAGTTGCTGCACAGGGATAAATCCAAAATAAAGCATCCTCATTAATGCATCCTGGTTAATGCAACGTGGTTAATGCAACCTGGTTAGTGCATCCTGGTTAATGCAACCTGGTTAATGCAACCTGGTTAATGCATCCCGGTTAATGCAACCTGATTAATGCAACCTGGTTAGTGCATCCTAGTTAATGCATCCTGGTTAATGCAACCTGGTTAATGCATCCCGGTTAATGCAACCTGATTAATGCAACCTGGTTAGTGCATCCTAGTTAATGCATCCTGGTTAATGCAACCTGGTTAATGCAACCTGGTTAGTGCATCCTGGTTAGTGCAACCTGGTTAGTGCATCCTGGTTAATGCATCCTGGTTAATGCATCCTGGTTAATGCAACCTGGTTAGTGCATCCTGGTTAATGAAACCTGGTTAATGCATGGATGTGCGTTAAACCTACCAAGGTAGGATCAGCCTGGGCAATATGGACGGGACCTGTCACAACACCACCCCATTCCCACCTCCATTTTCAGGGCTCCTTGCCCAGGCAAGTCCCGCCCAGCTATTGAGCTCCAAGTCAAACAACCTTCCCACACACTTCCTGCCTCATCCTGGCAGACCTCGGGGGTGACCCCCCCGCGCCGAGTACCCGGGTCCCCTACAGACAGTTCCTGTACACCACTTCTCAGGGATATTTTTTCCTCCCAACCTGTTTTTTTTTTTGTTTGTTTGTTTGTTTAACATATACTTGTTAAGTAACAGTGAACTAATGCTGGGTTAGGTTTTGCATCACCAGGACCAACGTACCCAAGAACAACCACCTAGAGGGGGAAAGTTTACGTGGGGCTCCCAGTTTTGGAGATCTCAGTCCACAGACTCCACAGCTGTGGGCCGAGGCGGGGCCCATCATGGTGCAAGGGCTCAGTGGGGGGAGGCTGCTCAGCTCATGGAGGGTCAGGAAGCCGAGAGGGCCAGGGCCACAGGGAAGCTGCACCTTTCCAAGGTGTCCCCAGTGACCCCCTTTTTGTAGTCACGCCCATCTGCCTACAGTTACCCCCCAGGGGGTCCATTCAGACTCGGAGGGACTGATGGGGTCACAGCTCTCACCGTCCAGTCATGGTACTTCTGAATATTTCTGCATCGACATGGAGTTTTGGGGGACACCTCACCTCCGCACCATAACAAATGCAGAGGAAAAAAATCCCCAAATGGCCAAAGACCCCTTCACCTGTGCGCCAATCCCCCTTCCACCCAGAAGCCATGACGTCAGAGCTGTGGGCCACGCTTCCCGAGCCTCCTTCTAGGGGAGACACACATGGCCACGCACCTGCAGATGAGTCCTTTACCCGGGCCTGTGATGTCACACTGCAGGTGCACCTCAACACCATGCTTATCTCTGATCATGCCATACTCCATGTCTCCACCGACTCCTGTCCTCTTGTATCTGCTGATGACCTTCCTAGGGGCATGACCTGGTGCCTCACTGTGGCTTTGATCTGCCTGCGTTTCCCTGGTGACTCGTGCCCGTGGGCACCTTCTCGTGGGCTCACTAGGCCCCGGTATGTCTTCTCGGAACTCTCTGCCCGTTTTTAAGCTGGTGATTTGTATTGTTATTATCGGGATATGATTGTGCCTTCCACTTTGTGAAAAGAAGTCCCTCATCAGGTGTGCAGTTTGCAAAGATCCTCTTTGACTTTGTGGGTCGTTTCTTGGCTTTCTTGATGGCGGAGGTTGAAGAGCCATGGTACCTCATTGTCACTGAGTCCAGTTCACTGTGTGTTTCTTTCATAGAGCGGCACATTCGAGACCTTTGGCTGGAGACAGACGACAGTGAGTCAGGGTTGGACCTGAGCTATCTCGATATTTGGGATAAATGTTGCTTTTTGCTGTTGGGGCGAAGGGTTCTTGTAATCCTTGCTCAAAGGCCGTTGGGCCTGGGTTTCACTAAGCAAAAATTAAAAAGGACAGACCGAGGAGCCACCTGACCACCTGGCCCTTCCTGTCCCCTGCGCGGCTTAGAGGAAAAGGCCTATGTCCAGGGGCTGGCTCCTTGGGAAACACCAGGACCCAGTGATTTCCCCACGCTGTTTCCTCTTCACCCCTGTTCCCGCCCGCCCACGGACGCTAATTTGGTTTCAATCTGCTCTTCTGTCATTTATCTTTGAGAAAGAGGCAATTTGGGGACGCAGCGCAGTCTATTTATTTATCTGATGTCTCTGGACTGAGTGTGAAAGCCAAGAAGACCAATTAGCGACGTCATGAATCAGGTTCAATTGACACTTCACTTGTAGGGGAAGTCGTTTGTTAGTTTAAGACCTTATGAGTTAATTACCGGCCTCGGTTCTTCAGACCGTCGGCCGAGCCTGGGTGTTTTCACTCTAAACAGAGCATGAAATCAACACACTGCACTCGCATGTGGCTTCAATTTACCAGGGACCTCGGCTGGAGTCAACGGTGCAGCTCGGCGGCAGAACCCAAGCTCGGTGCTCTCGGGTCTGCTTGCTAATTGTTCTTCTTTCCCTCCCTCCCCCTTGTCCCCAAACCAAGCAAGGTCAAGGGCCCGTAGAGGGACAGTCTGGGACGCTTGTGACCCACAGCCCAGGCCCACACACACTCCTGGCCAAGGTGACGTCAGCCACTACATTGAAGTCTCCACTTCTCTTTCCCCGAGTTGTGTTTGGAGAGACAGCAGAGTCGAACTTGTGTGGGTGACGGTGACCCGTCCACCTCGGGTCAGCTGGGACTGTCTGTGAGTGGAACTCGGAAGGCCTGGAAAGGGGGGGCCGGCTCTTGGGGATCCTGGTGACACTTCTGGAAACTCAAAGACGGAAGCCACATGGAGCCAGGAACAGAACTACAAAGCCAGGCGGGAGCTCTGGAAAGGCAGCCTCCGGCCCTGCCTGATCCTCTCTGTGTCTCCTGGTGCGGGGGTCTCTGCATGCATGCACCCTGTCTCTCGGTCTCTGGGTCTCTGTGATGCACGCTCACCTCCTGTGTCTGTTCTGTCTCCAGGTACCCCCCTCTCTCTCTGCCACGTACACACCGACTCACTCTTTCCACCGCTGTCTCTGAGTGCACGGGATTCTCGCTTCCTGTCACCCACAGTCTCTCTCTCTGTCACATGCTGTGTGTGTCTCTCTCTGTACATGTCCCTCTCTGAGCCTCTCCCCTGTCCCCTTTCTCCAGCCTCCTTCCCACTTTGCTCCTGCAGAGCATCACGGCGGCCCTGTGACCCCACTGAACAGGGTGGGCAGCAAGGGCTCAGCAGTGTCCTACCTCCCGCTGCCCCGAGCTCTCCACGGCCCTTGTCTACCTGCTGCACTGGATGGTCAGCGTCCCCTGCCCTGCCTCTCTCCAGCTGTGAGCGCTCTGGATGGGAAACGGCTTAGTTCACCATGATCACTGGTGCAAGGAAGAAGCTCAAGAAATGTTTTCAGGAGCCGGTCGCCGTGGCGATGCCTGTCATCCCAGCAGCTCGGGAGGCTGAGGCAGGAGGATCGTGAGTTCAAAGCCAGCCTCAGCCAAAGTGAGGCGCTAAGCAACTCAGTGAGACCCTGTCTCTCAATAAAGTACAAAATAGGGCTGGGGAGGTGGCTCAGTGGTCGAGTGCCCCTGAGTTCCATCCCTGGTACCAAAAAAAGAGAGAAACATTTGCCAGAGTCAATAAACTGGGGCCGCCCCCTGGTGAGCTGAGAAAGACTTTGAATCTCTCTGCCACACACACTGCCTGTCCCATCAAAACCAAAAGCCCCACGTGGTGGGAACGGATGCTGGGGACACAGCCCACCAGGCTTTGGCACAGGAGGGGTGGGTGGACAGGGCAGCACGGCGGGTCCCAGCTCTGGGTCCCTGGACGGCAGTGGGTTCTGAGGATCCACTCATCAGGAAGCCCTGAGCCAGCCAGCGCTGCTCCCGGCCTGCGGTTGCTTGGCGCCTGACCTGTGGCCTCCCCATCAGTTTCCTGTCAGCTTCCCCATTGATTCTGAATTTTATTATCGGCTTTCAGAGCGCGCCAGGACCCGGGGCTCTCCTCCACATCGATCTGCTTGTTCCTGGATGAGAGGCTCGCCTTCCCATCTTCATCCGCTGCCTGGTGACCGGCCCCCTGTCTTGTACTTGGAGCTCGCTGGCGTGTTCTGGGTCAGGTCGAGGAGCCTGGGCTCATTTCCTCGGACGTCTGTGACGCGGAGTCAACCCGAGCTCAGTTGGAGGCTGTGTATTCCCCGGAGCGCGTGGCCCGAGCTGAGCTGCGCCTACTGCACACTGGCCGTGTGTGACCTCACTTCATCGTCCCCGGGACCCGGGTGCATGGATAATTCATCACCGGATCACCAACAGGGAAACTGAGGCTCAGAAAGGCGCAGCTGCTCAGAGGCCCTAGAGGATCGGCCTCAGCTCTACAACAGAGCTGCAGAAGCTCCGCAGCCGCTGGGTAGTCTCAGCACCAGCCTGAGGCACCCACAGCTCGTCCCCACGCCCACGCTGCTCTGAGCCACGCTGGACAAGACAAGTCCACGGATCACACACTGAGCTATCTCGACAGCGTGAGATAGTGATGAGGTTTCTAATGGCTGCGGGTGAGCTCAGGGGCAGAGCCAGCATGACCTGGGTGTCATCGCAGCAATGCAAAAAAAAAAAAAAATCATTTTTAAAAACGTTCTTATAAGCTCAGTTCTGTACTGCACCTGGCTACCCACTGAACCCCCAATTCTCAGCTCACACTCTAGTGGCCCTCGTCCGGGGACACTGCTTTTTCCCAATATACTCTCCCCACTCCGTTTTGTCCCCAGCGCCACTCAGGGAGCGAGGCTGGAGCCACAAGCTCAGCGTCGCCTCTTGGACCACTAGGGAGGTCTGTCCTGACACCAGGGTTTCCAAGGCCCTGGCCGGCTGGCTGGCTCCTGTCTCCCACGGCCCAGGGCCCGGCAGAACTTTCTGGCAGGTTTCTGCCCTCTGTCCCCCCTGGCGCTCTTGTTCCTTCTCACCTCCTCCCCCCCTCCTCCCCCTTCCCGTGCTGCAGCCGTCCACACCTTCCTTCAGCAGCTGTGTCTGTCAGTC